AGCTTAGGAAAGAAATACAACTCTACTTGTACTCATAGCCCAATACTATGAGACCTGACCCCATTCCAGCTGAGCGAAAGGATTTCACTATGAACCTTGCTGGGAATTGGACTGCGATAAAGATGTACACACAACTATTGCTTTTCCATCCAGCTGAGACTCTACAGACTATTAATCTTACACATATCACTTGGCAATAGAATTTATTTTGGTTCTTTTAAAAAAATCCTGTGCAACTGCTGTGAGCGAGAAATGAACTTCCATTTCCATGGGCAATTTGAAAGAAACAGCTGGTGCTGGCGGATTCTGTTTATGACTAAATTCAGCAGGAATCTGACACAAAGAAGGTGGAAAGAGGGGGAATCTCCTCCTTAAATGTGTTAGGAATGCAGTGAATTTGGCCTCTCATTATTTCTATGATAATGGACCAAAACCAGGTTCCTGGGACAGTGATAAAGTGATCCTATCATGGATTTTTCTTGGCAAGACTGGATCAGAGGAGATTTCTATTGCCTTCTTCTGAGGCTGAGAAAGTGTGACTTGCCCAAGGCTGAACCTAGGCTCCAGAGTTGTAGCCCAATGATCAAGCCACTGCACCATGTTGGCTCATACTTTGGTCATTGTTATGGACTTTGAAATGGATGTAGTTAGACTGCTCAAAAAAACCAACGAGCAAACGGAAAGCACACTCATCCACATTCAGAGAATTGTGAAGGACAGCTCTGCTGTGTAGATTTCACAAGGATTCTAAATGGGTGGAATTATCAGATAATGCATTTGATTGAAGGTTGGATGGAGAGCAGATTTGGACTACACAAATCACCCCACTTGACACATGGGAATATATCTGAGATATGATTACTACTTCTTTGATAATGGATTTTGTAAAAGATTCATTTGCACATAAAAGACTGACAGGAGCCTTGAGAGGTGGTATCTGAATGCATGGCATTAGTAGGAGAGCGCAATGAACCAATTGCAAAGAGACTATGCTGTCTGTTGCACAATGCCTGTCATTTAAGAGACATGACAATCTGAGCTGTGGAGTGGGTATCAACCACTTCACAAACTCTTTCCCATCACAATTCATTAATATGTCCTATTCTTCCATTCTCCCCAGATTTTTGTATTGCAGCTTAGTTTTCTCTATGTCAAAGGTAAGGGCTGACTCAGATAATTGTAGATGAGTGGCACTTGGATGGAATGGGAAACCTCTTGCTGTAAAATCTTGCTTTTAGCCCAAAGCAAAGCTCTAAATTCCCTTAAAAAATTACAGATTGAATCAAATACACAAAAATTTTCTAGGAAAGTAATACACTTACTGTTCTTTTATCATTGTTTAGTGGTAGCAACTGGTGGATGCCATCAATGGAGCAGTGAATTTATTCCAGGTTTCAGGAGCCACGAGTGGTGCAATGGGTTAAAACCTTGTGCCAGCAGGACTTCTAACCGAAAGGTTGGTAGTTCGAATCTGGGAAATGGGTTGAGCTTCCATCTGTCAGCTCCAGCTTCCCATTCAAGGAAGTCTCCCACAGGATGATAAAACATCTGAGCATCCCCTGAAGATGGTCAATTATCTCACACAATAAGCAACTTGCAGTTTCTCAAGTCGCTCCTGACACAAAAATATTCGTTACTTTTAAATTAACTTTCCAAGGTGCTAATGCTGTTAAGGAATAAAGTTGAAAACCTTGGAACACTCCTTTAAAGCCTAGATTAAAACCAGGAATACATTCTCTGTGGCAGTCACATAAGAGCCACCAGATGAAACTGAATAGGTGGTACGGTCAACACAAGATGAAAAAAAGTTGTGTGTATAAAATATATAACGAATATAATACATTGAGAGGAAGCATGATCGCTATGTATAAATATGTGGAATGATGTCATAAGGAAGAGGGAGCAGGATTGTTTTCTGCTGCCTTGGAGACTAGGATTTGGAGCAATGGATTCAAATTACAGGAAAGAAGATTCCACCTGAACATGAGGAAGAATTTCCTGAACATACAAGCTATTCAGCACTGGAACTCTGCCTCAGAGTGTGGTGGAAGCTCCTTCCCGGGAGACTTTTAAACAGAGGCTGGATGGCCATCTGCTGGAGGTGCTTTGATTGTGCTTTTCCTGTATGGCAAGGGGTTGGACTAGATGTCTCAAGTGGTCTCTTCCAACTGTCTTGTACTGCAACTCTCTAGAGATGAAATTATCTCACAGGCAGACTGGAAGGCTTTTATTTCTCAAAGCATACAGTACGGTTACAAAGCAAAGTTCCATCTGAAAGTTACTTTACCTCTCACTTCCTCATATCCCTCACCCTGGCCCTCCCTTTTACTGTGCCCACCCCATTTCCATGGAGATCCTTGTCCTGGTCAGCTCTCCCTTCTTCAGGTGTGCTACCAGCCAAGGCATGACCTACTTCCATGGTTCCCCACATCAGGAAAGGAGTCATGACAGCAATTCTATTATTCTATGATCCTATGAAATCAGTAATTATTCAAATTAATGCTACAAAGTCCACCCCATAAATAACAGTAGGTCTATGGGGGGGGGGGCAGGGTGGTGTAGTGATTTGCGTGTTGGGCTAGGTTACTGGAAACCAGAGTTCAAATCCTCTCTCAGTCATGGAAACCCACTGGGCAAGTCACATACCTCAACTACTAAGGAAGGCAATGGCAAACCTCTGAACAAATCTGGTCAAGAAAATCCCATCACAGGGTCATCATCAGTTGGAAATGACTTGAGGGCACACAGCAACAGCAACACAAGGTCCATACGACATAAATTATTTGTTGAAGGGGGAAAGATGGCTCAAGGTCTTCATCAGCGGCCAATGTAAATCATGTTGTCCAATGCCACAGAGGGGAGTGAAAGAGATGAGGCATTTTAATCTATACTCCATGATTCTATGATTCCATGACCTGTTCTAAGCTGTAGAGGTGACTCACTCAAACATTTCAGCATGAATGTTCCCCAGGGTGCCTTTGTGTATACGAAATAAGATATGGTGATTTCCTGTCCAACTCAGCAACAGAATGTTTTTGGCCAACCCTACATCAAGAAGAGTGTCATCTATAGAAAAACCTGACTGCACGTTTTGACTTTCTACAAGAGCAACTTTTCTTTCACTTCTATATGTGTTGACAACAAAAATGTACATAGATGAGAACTATTATTCTCTTTCATTGGCCAAGAATCATAACAAAAATTCTTCAACATTCCTGACAAGTACAGTTCCCAAAAGTATTCAAGGGAACATATTGCCTACTTTCATATGGTTTTAAAGAAGGATGCACCTAATGTAATACGAAACAGCCGTGGGAGAAAGTTTTCCCAGGACAAGTGGATTGAACACACATATTTCCAAAAGTATTTAAAGATATACCATTTACTCCACAAGCGTGTTTCTTCTCTGCCCAGGTGTCCCGTCGTTTCCGCACAGCCTTTTGAACGGTGTTTGCTCGGTAGATTATATGTGGATGAGCCCCGTCTTCTGACCGATAGTTCTTTACTGGTTCAATGAAGTAGTCTCCATCAGGCAGATGGAAATATCCAGTCTGAGAAGAAGGATTGAAAGAAAAAAAATATATAAAGGGAAACAGTGGAAGTATATTTGAATTATACTAAATGTTGGACACCTTATAATAATTCTAGTTGCATAAATTCTCTCTCCTCAACTCCGCTATTATGTTAATCAGATGCGAAGTTAGCTAAGCACTTTGGAAATTTGGGAGGTGAAGACACCAATTTAATGCTGTAGACTGCTTTTTTTTTTGACCAGGGACCACTTTAACATTAGTACCAAAAGGGTCACAAATCAGTTTTTGGTCAATTTTAGATTTGGTTTGGTTATTTGGTGTGCTGATTCAGAAAACTGAATTGAATAGACCACATCAGCTCTAGTTTCTGATACAGAACATATGCCATCCAGTAGTCTCCATCAGCTCGCCTACAAAAAAACCCCATATTTAATAATCTAGAGCTGATGTGGTCTATCCAAGGTGTCGGGGCTGGTCAGCAACTGGGAAGGAGTGGCAGATGGCGCAAAAGGAGTGGAAATAAAATAAACAAATAAAGAGGATGGAGACTGGCAGACCAGATTTTTATCCTTGCTGCCCACTGGTGGTCCACAGCCCACAGGTTAAGAAACACTGCTGTTGGGCAAACCAATGTTAATATTCACAAAGCTTCCAAGCAATGCTTGAATTGGTCTCACCAGAGCAACACCTTGCTCCACTAACAATAAGAGGCCTATTGTTTGTTTAAACCCCCTTGAAAGGCTTTTATGAAAGAGGAGTAGGAACAACATTCAGATTATTATAAGAAATCCACCTGGTTTTTGCCATATGAAGCAATTTCAAATGAGAACATAGTATTGCAAGAATTGCCAAATATAAACACAAGGTCAACAGTATCCCAAATATCACACAGACCTTATATACCAGGCATGGGTAAACTTTGGCCCTCCAGGTGTTTTGGACTCCAACTCCCACCATTCCTAACAGCCTCAGGCCCTTTCCTTTTGGACTCCAACTCCCACCATTCCTCAGGCCCCTTCCTTTTGGACTCTAACTCCCACCATTCCTAACAGCCTCAGGCACTTTCCTTTTGGACTCCAACTCCCACCATTCCTAACAGCCTCAAGCCCCTTCCTTTTCCTCCTCAGCCGCTTAAGTAGCTGAGGAGGGAAAGGAAAGGGCCTGAGGCTGTTAGGAATGGTGGGAGTTGGAGTCCAAAACCCCTGGAGGGCCAAAGTTCACCCATGCCTGTTATATCCTGTAAATATGCTCAATTGAGATTTACTAAGATCAGCATGACTCTGAGGATGAGAAACTTGGCTGAAATTACCACTGACATGACTAAAAAAACTCTTTCAGTCTTCTCCACTGATTCCAGCCCTGGATCACTTTCTATCAGGGAGTTGCATTTCAATATTATGTTGGATAGTTATACATAAAAGCAGTTGGGAAATTACTTTCCCATTAGCCTGTTTACACATCGTATTGACCTTCCTTTCCACCTCCTATAAAGATATGAATATGCAAAACGACAATTAAATTTGCACTAAGAACTTTATACACTAAACTTATAAAAATTGCATGGCACAGCTTAGAAATTGCTAACCAATTTTGTTACTCCTGTTGTGAGCCCTACAGCTGGAGTTTCATTTCAAAAGGAAGACGTGGGGAAGAACCTCACCTAAATGAGCACCATTCTCCCAAATTTCCAACATGGCAAAAGCAGCCTGACATAGAGCCAGCTGCAGAAACAAAACAGGCATTCAGCAAATCACACCTCTTTATGATCCAGTAGAACAGCATAAAAATTGTCTAGCATACAACCAGAAGCCAATTGCTGAATGGCGAATAAATCAAATTCATTCAATGACTCTATTCGGATCAGGACTAATAATGATCCTATTATTTCAGGTTGTTTCCAATGTATGATAACTCTAGAACAGCGTTTCTCAACCTGGAGGTTGGAACCTCTAGTGGGTCACGACAGGGGTTTCAGAGGGGTCGCCAAAGACCATCAGAAAACACATATTTCTGGTGGTCTTAGAAACCCCTTTGGCAGAGAAGGCTGAAGATCTCTCCGCCTGTCCTTCTCTTCCTCCCACCAAAAGCCCTCCTCTTGCTGTGATTGGCTGGCCTCTCAGTTGGCCTCTCAGCCGAGGGGAGGGCTGAAACTCCAAGTGGGGAGGGAAGAGCAGGCATGCTCTCCTCTAAATCATTGTCAATTCCTTCCAAATCTCTCCAGTATTTTCTGTTGGTCATGGCGGTTCTGTGTGGGAAGTCTGGCCCAATTCTATCCTTGGTGGGGTTCAGAATGCTCTTTGATTGTAGATGAAGACCTCCCAAATGCAAGGTCTCCCCCCCCCTTGTAAAACTCCACCAGTGCTCACAATTGGGCATATTGAGTATTCCTGTCAAGTTTGACCCATATCCATCACTATTTGAGTCCACAGTGCTCACTGGATGTAGGTGAACTACAACTCCAAAACTCAAGGTCAATGCCCACCAAACTCTTCCAGTATTTTCTCTTGGTCATGGGAGTTCTTTGTGCGAAGTCTGGTTCAATTCCGTAGTTGGTGGAGTTCAGAATGCTCTTTGATTGTAGGTGAACTATAAATCCCAGCAACTACAACTCCCAAATGATAAATTCATCCCCCCTCAACCCCACCAGTATGCAAATTTGGGTGTATTTGTGCCAAATTTGGTCCAGTGAATGAAAACACATCCTACATATTGGATATTTACATTATGATTAATAAGAGTAGCAAAATTACAGTTCTGAAGTAGCAACAAAAATAATTTTATGGTTGGGTGTCACCACAACATGACAAACTGTATTAAGGGGTCACGGCATTAGGAAGGTTGAGAACTACTGCTCTAGAGCAAACTTATCATGGCATTTTCTGGCAAGGTTTATTCAGAGAGGATTTGCTTTTGACTTCTTCTGAAACTGAGGCTGGATTGACACTGCCATATAATCCAGATTATCAAAGCAGATAATCAACATTATTTGCTTTAAAATGGATTGTGTGTGTCTACATTACCATATAATCCAGTTCAAAGCAGAGAATCTGGATTTTATATTCATAATTCACAAATCAGTCTAAGTTGCAGAAATATAATACTAGGATATCCGATGAAACAATCAAGATATTGAGATTCTCTTCTAGTTTTTCTTTTTATAAACATGCTGCTGGGAAACTAAATATTTGACTGAGATTAACCAGATTTCTTCCCTCAAGGACTTTACAACCTTGTGCTTTATGGAAGGCAGACAGAAGAATATTTCAAGAGAAGGGTGACTCTCTTTTTGTGACCGAGCACACAGTACATTATGTGTTAGGTTGTAAATTATATGAAGCCCCGGGGAAAATTACTTGGTAAAATGCTTCATGCCTGTAGCTAATTTTATCGACTGGTGTAAAATTATCTACTTACTGTCCAGTTCAATTAAATCAATTATGGTTAATTTATCTTGATCTGCAGTGAAAACAACCCAACCCAGAATTACCTGAGAGTAATGGACTCAGTAATTGTATGTGCCAACATTGTATCTGCACACTTCACTTCTGTACTATGTATATTATAATTGTATTTTGTACTTTTAATACTTTTTATATTTTGCTTACATCATGTATATTTATATATTATAATTGTAATATAACTTATAAGACATTAACAACTTTTTGGAGTTTTGTTGTTTCACTGTTTATCATTGATTTTTCTTTAGGCTAAAATCTATAGTTGATTATACTAAATACTGTAGAGTGAAGTAATACAGTACGGCTTTTGTACCGGCAGGGGAACATGCTCCTGAATTCACCATGGAAACAAGAAACCCTACTGAAATTCATAATCTGAATTTATCTTGAAATCAGGAACTCTATTGAAATGTATAACTTCACTGGACGTTACCATGGAAGAACTAGAAAATTCCTAAAGAGGCATCCTCTCTGAGAAATGCCAGAAATCTCTGGTAATTTCTGGCTGAATCATAGGTCATATTCTTCCAAATGTGGATGAGTTAAACTGTGGAAACCTGCCTCATGAGTGCAGAGGTACATACTATAGATACTATCATCTATCACCTCATTTCAAAATCTGATCATAAAGTCCAGAGACTAAAATTAAATTGTATTGTCGAAGGCTTTCATGGCCGGAATCACTGGGTTGTTGTAGGTTTTTTTCGGGCTATATGGCCATGGTCTAGAGGTATTTTCTCCTGACATTTCACCTGCATCTATGGCAAGCATCCTCAGAGGTAGTGAGGTGAGGTCGTGAGTCCTCACTACCTCTGAGGATGCTTGCCATAGATGTAGGTGAAACGTCAGGAGAGAATGCCTCTAGACCATGGCCATATAGCCCGAAAAAACCTACAACAACCCACTAAAATTAAACTGCAATTTTGGAATTGCCATTTATTTTTTGACTGCAACTCTCAGAATCTCCTGCCAACTTGGCTGATGGCCATGCTAGTTGGGGAATAATACAATTTGTCCTCACTTCCACCATTCTAAATGCTGACAAATATACCACTCTCTCCATATGCTCCTTGTGCCTCTAGGCCAGGCATGGACAAACTTCGTCTCTCTAGGTATTTTGGACTTCAACTCCCATAATCCCTGTTAGGGATTGTGGGAGTTGAAGTCCAAAATACTTGGAGGGATGAAGTTTGCCCATGCCTGCTCTAGGCAAACAACATGATTTTACACATCTGGAAGACAGCTGGATACCATGAGCAATATATAATAATAATAAATAATAATAAAACTTCATTTATAACCCACCACCATCTCCCTGAAGGGACTCGAGAAGACTAACATGAGGCCAAACCCAAGTAATTACAAAAAGGCAAAATAAAATGCATACAAAACAGGCAATAACATTAAATAAAAATGCTTAACAATAACATAGCAATGCAATAAAATGATGACAATAACATAATGAAACAAAGTATAAAACAATAAAGGATGTGATGGGTGAAAATTGTAAAAACCCATGGGTGAGATAGATAGATAGAATGATCCTGCAGCTATGGATCT